CACCACGCTTGCTGTTGCTTGCTGTTGTCATTGCTACAGCAATTACGTTTTTACAGGATTTTTTTCCAGCCCAAAATGACATCATTATTCAGTCATTTACTATAATCATTATCCTCATCTTTGGTGAAGATGTTAACATTGCAGGGATTGTGAAAGCATTCTCTTGGGAGTCTGTTCCACGAAGTAGCGGTTCTTGGGGAAGAAATTGTTTAAATGGAACTTCCTTCTTGGCAATAATTTACGAGGAGCAAAATGGATGATTCGACACGTGTGTTTTGCTTGGCGAATCTTTATACTTCTTTAAGTGCTACTTTTTCATTAATGGTTAAACTAAATATGATGAACTAATTTTTTTTTTTTAACCTTTCACTCCAAACAAGGCGGGAAGCCACTAGCACACAAAAGGTTACAGAAAATTGGAGTGAGACCAAATAGGAATGATAGAGAAAAGGATGAAGAGAAGGATAGGGGATAGATCAAGGCATCTGGAGACGTCGATTGACCTTACATTTGAATAGTTGAAGATTATAGCTATCAGGGAAACGAGAAAAGGGGGAGTTCCACATGCGAGAGGTGCGAGACATGGAGCTATTGGAGTAGAAGAGACGGCTACATTTAACAGTTTCGACAGTGAAAGGGTGTGAGCGAGATGCCAACCTAGTAGAACGCTTAAATTCATGAAGTCTGCGAACCAGCGAAATCAGCTCATCGGAGCAGTTACCATGAAAGTATTTGTAAAAAAGACAGAGGGAGGCGACGGCACGTCTGTGAGAGAGCGACTGCAGACGAGATGCCAGATCAGGGCCAATTACATTGCATATCCGTCTCTGGATCTTATCAAGAACCTTGAGACAAACAGAAGGGGGCTCCAGACCATATATGGCAGCAATACTCCATGCAAGGGCGAATGGTTGATTTGTAGATTTGAAGGATCGACTCCGGCGAGAAAAATTTCCTGGCGCGGCACAGGGAGCCAACTTTCCTTGCGGTGGACGAAGCTATTGACTCAATGTATTTGTTCCATCTCAGGTCAGCAGTCAATGTGAGACCGAGCAGTCGCAAAGAGGTGCTCTCGAGAAGTTGAGCGTCAGACATTCTAATGGGGGGCAGGGATGGTTCTCTGTGATGAGTAATAGAGAGCAGTTTTGTTTTTGAGGCATTAAAGTTAACCAGCCAATTCCTGCCCCAGTTCACAACCGATTGGAGGTCCTTTTCGAGACGAACGGCCAGGTTAGTTTTGTCAGCGACACTAGATTTGTTTTTGAGGCAGGAGTAAATAGTAGTGTCTTCTGCGTAGATGCCTACTTGAGAATCTATGACGTCAGGAAGATCGTTGATGAAGATAAGGAACAGAGTAGGGCCTAGAATGGACCCTTGGGGAACACCTGCGTTCGTGGGATAGGAGCTGGAGGAGAATCCGTTGAGAACGACCTTCAATTCACAGTTTGACATTGTATTAAGTCAAACAATCGACCTCTAATTCCATAACCCTGAAGCTTGCGAAGAAGGCCGGCATGCAAATCCCTATCAAACGCTTTGGAGATGTCTAGAGCCACGGCACGAGCTTCTCCGTTATTATGAAGGGCTTGGTAAACAAATTCAGTGATGGCCGTAAGCACATCAGCTGCAGAACGGCCAAAGCGTAAACCATTTTGCTTGTCGGAGAGCAGATCATGGGACGTAAGGTGCTTAACCAATTCGGTGTTGATTAAAGCTTCGAAGACTTTGCCGAAGAGGGGTAGAAGACTGATAGGACGATAATTAGAAGGGTCAGAAGGGTCACCAGAGTTCTTAAAGACAGGAACAATGGATGACTTCCAATAGTCTGGAAAACAAAATTCTTTGAGGCAGTAGCTATAGAATTTGGAGAGGGCAGGGGCCAGTTCAATGCACATTTCTTCAGGACAATGGCTGGTCTCCACCACTAGCCTTGTGGGAGTCTAAATTAGAGATAATGCCCAATACCGGTGACGGGGTAATGTGCAGCTCGCTCAATAGAGCCTCAGTTCTACGGGGGAAATCAGGTGTGGATACACCGGAAGAGTCGAGCGTTGAATTGAATGAGAATTTCCGAGCAAAGCATTCAGCCTTGTCGGCAGAAGAGATCAGAACCTCGAATTTGTTGAACAAAGGAGGTATAGAAGGTTTGCTATTGTTAAGTACGCTCTTGCAGAGACGCCAATAATCCTTGGAACCGAATTTGCGAGATGCAATGCGTTCTTTCATTCGAGCAGTGACTTTGCTTCATTGAGGACACGCTTACACTCGTTACGGGCAGAGACAAAGAGACGTCTATTGCAGGCAGACATGTCACTTCGATATAGGTGGAAGAAGTGGTTTCTATGGGAAGTGGCAGCTGAGCAAGCAGCGTAAAACCGAGGGGAGGAACGCGATTTGGCCTTATATTTCCTTGAGGGGATGAAAGAGTCAATTCCAGCTTTAACCCAGGAGGAGACCTCGGAAGCACATTCTTGAACAGGGAGCGTAAAGACAACATCCCAGGGGACATCGCGAAGGAAATCCCGGAACGAGCCCCAGTCTGCTGGGTGATAGCAAAACGAGGTTCTAGTGGTAGGAGGTACTTTGCAGGGGGTGGAGTTGATGGAGATGTTGATAGACACTACAGCATGATCAGAATTGCCAGGATTGCGAATGAACGTATAATGGGCCCTCCACTATTAAAACAGATATGAGGAAAAATTGCTATATTAACTGTTTCCTTATAAGGAAACATTCGCCATTTTTTAACCGAGCAATCAGTCTTCTGTTGGTTTAAAATTTTTCCCTTAACACAATTTTTCAGGAAAATAAATTTATCAAGTCCAATATCTGTTATTTCTCTTTCTAGTATTGTTGGGGATTTCCTTCCTAGACTTTTATTTGAAGTCATGTGGAATGTCAACATCTTGATTATGTCATTAATCTCTTTTTGAGTTACATGTGCTATCCATTTTAGTTGTTTCTGCTGTTGAAAGTCCTTACGTGATGTAGTTTCTGTTATCGGGTAGAGCATGGTAATATTTTGGTGGGGCACGCATAGGATGTGCACTCTTCGGCTTATTATACCAACAGAATAGGGGGGACAATTGTTTCTGGTAATATTTTTTCCTTCGAAAATCTATTCCTTGTAATATTTTTTCCTTTTTAAAATGTATTTATGCTATTTTTTCTCAAAAAAAAAATGTATTTTGAAAATCTTTTTACAAAAGTATTTCTGGTATTAAAAAACCTATTTTTACGCTTTCATAGTGTTTTTATTAAAAGAAATTTCGGTATGTTAACTATTTGCCCATAGCTGGGACCCTAACAGGTGCTACCATATTGGGGTTCCAATGGACCTGGGAAAAACCAGCAATTAAGAGGTGGTTCCAGACTCCTCAAAACCTCCTGATCAGAGGCCTAGAAAATGCTGGAATAGTTTATCGTCTTGCCCAGGACATGGATGTTATAAGTTTATCATCATACCCAGGACGAGAGAATGGGTTATTAACTATTGAATTGTTTAAAGTGAGTCTGAGTGAAAGTTAAAACATATGATGCAATACAATATGCAACACATAAAAAAATATATTATTGTGTATGGACGTACATATAATTAGCATACATAAATATTAAATTCAATTGGTGGGCACCAGATTTTTTAGAAATACCAAAAGTGAGACATATTAAAAATCGGTTGGGAACCAGTGATAGAGTTCTTTAGAAACTGAAGCGCCAATCCATGAGGTTTAAAAGGATGATCTTCGCTAAGACAAAAGCATTGATCTGAGGAAACGGTTGTATAAGGCTGACAGTTTACACACACACACACACACACACACACACACACACACACAATATATATATATATATATATATATATATATATATATATATATAGATATAGATATAGATATAGATATATATTCTGGACGAGTCTGGCGCCATTCAGTGCATCGGTATGAAAGTTTCGAGCTGACAAAACTATTTAAGAACATGACTCTAGTTTTTAAACCACTCGCTCCAAGATCTCCAGAAAAGGAAACGGATCAAAGTATTTTACTCAAGAAGCCACTACAGCGACACTGGGCAAACAATTACACCTCGTTTAATATTCAGTCAGTTTATGAAGCAAATATTGATAGGAAAAGGCTGCCTGACTTAAGTCTTGCCGGCCTATTCTGAAGCTAACTTGGAAAAGAATGAACGTTTTACAAATTGAGCTGCAACGCTGCAAACTAAAATGGCTCGGCCTGTAGCAGGAGTAAGAATACTATTGGGTGTAACTGTAATATTAGTAGTAGTAAACGTTGTGGCGATGTGAAAAGGATTTTCGCAGCAGCTGTTGTAACGGTGTCGGTGTTTATGTAAATGGTAATGTACTTTTAGGCAGCTGACCTGATCCATTTGGCCATAGCACGGAGGTGGGGGGGGGACTACCTCCAGTGCAGTTGATGAGAAGAAGAAAAAGAAGGAGGAGGAGGAGGAGGAAAATAAGATTTTTCTCCTCATTTCTTTATATCAATGCATACATAGATAGATAGATAGATAGATAGATAGATAGATAGATAGATAGATAGATCTAAAAAAGAACGCAACAGATCTTAAAAGAAGATAGATAGATAGATAGATAGATAGATAGATAGATAGATAGATAGATCCGAAAAGAACGTGTTGAATTTGAAAATAAAGTAATAGATAGATAGATAGATAGATAGATAGATAGATAGTAGGGTTGGTTGATTCTACAGCTTATCAACCCTTTTCAAGTTACTTAAAGCCAGGTAATATCTTTAGATTGCAAGATTTTTTTTGCGGGGAGGGAAGTAATGGTTTAGTGATACAAGTCACATTGTCACAGTGATATTACCCATAAAACTGGGTAGAAGAGGCAGCTACATACCTTTCCCAAGGGTATTTTCGCGTAAATGAATATAATGAATCCAACAGGAATTGGAACTACTCTCCGATTAACAATTTCCCAGGCATTATCCCTTACACCATCAGCACATCCAAGCTTATACCCAAACGGTCAACCATCTATGTACTAACCAGGTTCGACGTTGCTTAACTTCGGTGATCGTAAGGGAACTGGTGTTTCAAAGTGATGTGGCTGTTAGAGATAGATAGATAGATAGATAGATAGATAGATAGATAGATAGATAGATAGATAATGAAGGGACGCTCATAGATAGATAGATAGATAGATAGATAATAATAGATAGATAGATAGATAGATAGATTTCAATGTGATGTGGCTGTTAGAGATAGATAGATAGATAGATAGATAGATAGATAGATAGATAGATAGATAGATAAATTTCAATGTGATGTGGCTGTTAGAGATAGATAGATAGATAGATAGATAGATAGATAGAGAGATAGATATGAAAAGAACGTGTTGGAGTTTAAATAGATAGATAGATAGATAGATAGATAGATAGATAGATAGATAGATAGATATGAAATGAACGTGTTGGATTTGAAAATAAAGTAATAGATAGATAGATAGATAGATAGATAGATAGATAGATAGATAGATAGATAGATGATTACTTTAAAACATTATCACCTCTTCTCTCTCTCAAGATGCTCAACAATTGTTATCTACGAAACTAAAAGTAGATCAAATTAGAGATTAATCTTGTACCAGTTTCCGAACAACTGTACCAATGCTTGCCTGAAATTTTTAACGCTGAATACATCAAATTTTTCCTGCTACCTCAATTTTTTTCTTTATTCGCAGATGACCCTGTTTTTCCGATTCGTAAAAATGTGTAATACGAAACGTTTAAGTGTGTTAAACTAAGTATTATTCAATTATTTAAATTGGTCTCATTTCTTAAAATAACGCAATTCAAATTCGCATTTTTATTAGTACAAATTAAAACTGAGCGGTTAACCTTCAATTCCTCAACCCAAACAGAAATTACTAGGGGAAAACAGCTTTTTTTCCGTTTGGTAGAATTTAAAGTGAATTCTTTATTAAAAATAGCTACTACGTGGAGAAACAATTATTATGCAAGTGTACAGTGAGCAAATGACGCGTTTCAAAGACGCATTGATACAGATAAGATCTTTATTCTGGGCAAGAAACACGATCGGTAATTTTGGTTCATAACAATGCCTGCCTACAAATTGTAAATTACGATTCAAAATGTAAAAAAAAAAATTTCATGATCTACATTTGAAGAACTTTAAAGAGACGAGAACCTTTGTTCCAATAAGCACTTCGTCTAATAATGTTGTAGTGTTGCGGTGTGTCTAAAAAAAAGTCTAAGAAAAGACGTATTCAAAGATTCATAAACAGGGTTACATATATACACACACACATATAGGGATTTTCCAAGCGTAGCTGTGGCACAAGGCCGAAAGTATGGGGTACCTAGTGAGGATCGAACTCACTACTCAGTCGTAATTGTCATGCTTGCAAACCATTACGCCACCTCGAGGGGCCCATATAGCGATTTTCCAAGCGTAGCTTAAATGTGGCACAAGGCCGAAATTAGAGGGCACCCAGTGAGGATCGAACTCACTACTCAGTTGTAATTGTTCTAAAAGGCAAGCTTATTAACCATTACAAAAATTTTATATATATATATATATATATATATATATATATATATATATATATATATATATATATATATATATATATATATATATATATATATATATATATATATATATATATATATATATATATATATATATATATATATATATATATATATATATATTCTCGTTATATTTATATATATATTTATATATTTTTATGGTTATATATATTTATATATTTCGTTCGTTATATATATATATATATATATATATATATATATATAGTCTCGTTATGGTGAATCAACTAATGCAATTAAATATATATATATATATATATAGTTGCATTAGTTGCTCACCATAACAGAGATTGACAACAATTTAGATATAAAAATGAGACTAATTAAAACAATTCACTAAGATCAAAATGTTTAGAAAATGATTTAATTGCTAGTTCACTCACAATAAATCTGCGTCCATGGTCTTACAACGTTTCCCTATTCTTGGTAGATTTTCTGTTATCACAATTGGGGGGGGGATATTTAATAACAAAGATGAAAGAAACAATGAGAAAATCGATCTAAATGAAATTGGCTATATGTCATATAGGAATAAAGTGTCGCTGCCGACACTTGAGTTTGAATATAGATCGCCAGTGAGCAAACACAGGCGATCCCATTATTAAATTAAGTAGACCACGTGACCGTAGAGAAAACGCATAAGTAGGAAGTCGCGTGACGTCGAAATGGTCAGTATTTCCAGTCTATCCTCTATTACTATTTGAATCACCATTTCTAGTCAATCCTCTATTACTATACGAACCACTATTCTCTACTCTATTCACTATACTATTTCTCTATTCAGGTCACTATACGGTGGTTACTTTTCGAGCGAGTATTATCGAGCAAGTACTATTAGTGCGAATGCTATTCTAAGGCGTCTTTCACCAGTATTGTTCAACGGCGGATTATCGTTATATCTGCAGTTACAAAGTCTCTACTACAAAGAGCATTTACAAACAAACATTTACAACAAGTATTCGTTGGCATCACAAAAGTGGCAACGAGTGTTCGTTGACATCACAAAACTATATATGCCCAAAAAACATAAAAAAAATTTTGAAAATTCATTTTTTAAATTTAAAATTCCCAGCGTCTCTCGTTCGTACGTAGTCGCATCGTAGTCGCATCAACGCAAACAGACTGTTACATCTTCATTCCATTGAATGAAGATAACACAATCATGAAATATAATGTCGCTTGGAGTTGACGTAGTTTTACTGAATTCTCTAGTAAGGATATAAGGCTCGCTTCCGGCTAGCTCTCTCCTGATGATTCTCTGGCTTTTTCTTTTGGTACTACTGTCTTGTTTTCTAAATACTTGTACTTCTGACGTGCCATTTTGTTCGATTTTCGCTGTATCTTGCCTTAAATTGACAATTTTTTGGCACACTTCCGCAACAGTCTGTATCGATGACTTTAAATCCTGTTCAAGATTTGTAAGGAATAAAGAGCGTATTTCCACATCGTTGCTTGATGTTAAACCTTTATTGAAGATTAGACATTTAAATCTGTCTGGTCGTTCAGTTCAAATTTTTCAAACTCACGGTTGACTTTACCGGCACATGAGACAAAATCTTCATCTTCATCCTTAGTAAGGTTCATGCACTGCCAACTTGTGTAAAAAGAGTGGATTCTTGTTACCAAACAATTTATGTAATAATAACGACATTGTTCCGTTAAAAGACACTTTTCTGGAATATTCGGAAAAATGAAATTCAGATATTCTTCATGTTCAACGGGGCACATTTTTCGTAACAGAAGACGTACTTTCTTATCATCCCACCATCTTTGATATTCTTCTCTGAAAATGGTCTTACATTCTGAAGTACGACAGGAATGCAATATTTTCTTCTGGGACGTAATTAAATCAACTAATTGAATTAGCGACTGAGTCCGGCGAAGATGAAATTAACGCATTGCCTATTCCTTGCTTTTCCAAGATTGTCTTTAACTGTTCTCGATAGTATATTATTTTCGTGCAAGTAGTTCTTAACCCTAGAACACTAACCATCAGTTAAAGTTACACCACTACTAACCATGGATATATCGTATCCGATTTTGAAAATACCAAAAAAATATTAAATATAAATCTTTATTTGAAATATTTTACATGCAGGCACTTCAAACTTTGTACTTTGAGTTAACATTGATAGTAACTGAAAAACATATTATTTAGGTAAGAAAATCAGGTATTGAAAACTGTAATTAAAAATAGGAAAATTTGCGCTGGGTACTATATACCCATGGTTAGTGTTCTAGGGTTAACTAGGAAGGAAAAAGTTTTTCCCCCCCTTAATAGCAGCATATCGTAAAACTTCGGAATTTATCGACATTCGCATCGCCCTATGAATATGCACGAACACGAACTCCATGAATCTTGAATTTTCTTCGCCAGCTATTTATGCTAAGCGAGAGAATTTTGTGTGTGTGTGTGTGTCTCTCTCTCTCTCTCTCTCTCTCTCTCTCCTCTCTCTCTCTGTGTGTGTGCGCGCGTGCGAGCGAGCGTCAATTTAAATCCTCATCGTCACTACTATGTCTTCATTTCATTGAATGAAGATAACACAATCATGAAATATAATGTCGCTTGGAGACTACGTAGTCTTACTGAATTCATTAGTAAGGATATAATGCTCGCTCCCAGTTTGATCTCTCCTGACGATTCTCGGCGTCAGTATATATGCTAATTGGACGAGTCCAAGTCATATTCTGTAGAATGTGTTTGCCTCCACAATACAAACCTAGTTTCGATGAAGTTCTATTGGATTAAAAGCGTCACACGAAAACTTTTTCTACTTTGTCACAGAGTTTTCCTTCAAAATTCTTCTTCATATATATATATGACATGATATGTCCCGGAAAGGGATATATTTGTTCGAAGTAGCAAAGTCGTTGTTTGACTACTGTAACCGGGTAGGACAATCTAGCAGGTAACCGTAATGGACTGGTCCTCGTCGTAGTGGTAGGCAATAGGCATAGCCAAATAGGCGTCGTCCATGTACCTCCACATCAGTCTGTATTTATGGCTGACACCAGACAATCATACTACTGTGAGGGGGAACCCAGGTGTATGCATATTCATTACATCAATATATATCAGCCGAAATAGCTAAATTGGAAGAGCGTTAGACTGAATATCTAAAGGTCCCTGACTTAATCCTGGTTTTCGTTGACTGACACCGTTATCTTAGGAAGCATGGTGGAGTAGTGGAGAGCCGTGCTCGAATTCCAGTTGAATCCATTACATTCACTTACATGCTAATATCCTTCTTCTTCCTCCAGCTATAGGTAATTAGCAGAACAGACTGGGTTCTAAAGAAGAACAACTATGAATTCGAAACCTGTGGAAGGTTGGGGACCTTGTGGTTTGTAGTGCACCAGGTCTCTGTATTCGGCCCTTCAAAATGTGTGGTTGGTTCTGTACAAAGCTTTCACCGCTATAATCAAATCATATGTGCTGGTGTCTGGCTGTCAGTTCCTAGGAACTAAGTTGTTGACCCT